GTTACGCCCACGATGGGTAGAGAATTTATTAAAGGGATTTTAATTGGATACGATTATGGTGGATATCTTATCTGGAACCTGCAAAAGAAAACCATTATTAGGTCAAGAAATACCGTTTTTCTCAGGTCCTGGAGGTCCCTTTCTGTCTAAGTGCTGCCTGTGTTCTTGACTTCAAGATTTTCTAAGTTTGGCATCCCTTGTAGTTTTCCGGATGATTTAGATGGCATAGTGCGCACACAGCTGGAGTTTGCCAACACTTAGTGCATTCCTCAGATCTGTGTTGCTTTTTTTTTTTTTTTTTTTTATTTGTTTTCCACCCTTCCATGCCACCAGGGCAACACGGGTGTATGCAGTTGTGTGATGTTAAGCATTAATGCATAATAACACACTACTGCTATAATATCGGTTTACAAAATTCTAAGCTGTGCACACAGCTAGCTCTTCTACTTTCCCTCATTCTTCAGCAAATGAGGGAAAGTAAAAGAGCTAGCTGTCAAGATCTGTGTTGCTGTCCTCTCACACATCGAGGTAAGCGGTGGCAGTAGCTTCTAGTGTGGCCATAAGATTGACAACTATGGTATTGTACTATTTCACTTTTTGTGTATGGTTTTTCAACCATTATACTGGTATAGTACATACGGGTTAGTTTATAAATGTTATCGACCCCTGGAGTGCGTTCCAGGTCTATAAAAATAGTGGTAGCGCTTATTCGTTATTTGTACCCGGTTGTTTTTTTTTCTTTTATAGATGTTAACGATTTGGCGGACATCGAAATCTAAAGCATCAATTCTTCTTTGATTTCATTGGGTAGTTGAAGGGTGTATGCCTCTTATCACGACTCTTAGTGCTCTCTCTTTGTACAGCTGGCACGTGTAAAATTCAGTCTTTGACTCTGGAAAGTATTTGACAATGTTTTAATATATTTTCGGAGAATCCAGCATTAATTTGGTGTCATTGGTTCTACTGTGGCATATATATTTACCGTTTTCAATTATTTTATTAAGGTGCTGGCAGAATAATGGACAATTATTAATATTTCAAACAAATATTGGATGTGGTTTGGGCTCTCAGGGAGTTGGTGCTGCTTCCATTGTTTTTTCTGACGATAGTAGCTGTTGAGTCTTGCGGATGAAAAATTGAGATTCATCAGCTGTTTGGGTCGAAAAACAAAGTTGCAGATCATTATTGATTTCAATTGGTCTATCAGATGTTAATGGTGGTGTTTTTCTATTGGAACGCCTTGACCTTTGTTTTACAGGAGAGTTTTGAGAGCTATTATTACCTAAGCTTCTCAATCGTTTAACTTTGTTCAACATTATCATATGATAATATCGCATTTATGAAGATCTGACTGAAAAAATATTTTAAATAGTCTGATGCGTAAAAAAAAAAAAATACATAGACCGGTGGAGCGCAGAGTGAAGCGTGCCCACCTCACCAGTCAGCCAGCTACTGGCTGCCGGCTGAGTGGGGGATAGTTATGTATATATGGTAGATAATCTATCCAACTATATCTATTGTTGTTAGGACTGTTAAATAAACTTGATAAACAAGTGATTTCTAAACGTGATTATGTTTATTTGATGAACGAATTGTTAATTGGTCAAATATCACTGTCTCTAATCACTATGGTTCACTAATTCACTAGTAATTTAATCACTTGTGGAAGACGAAATAACTTATGATATGTAAGAAATTAGCGCATGGGCAAGACTCTCACAATAATTATGTTAGAATCATTTTTCTAAGAAATCAACCGAAATGCAATAAAAACTAAGGCGAGATGTATGATAATGCATTTAATTTAGTACAAATTAAAACTTACGAATAAAATAACGTTCAAGTTCTTCTTCAGTATTAGGTTTAGTAGCAGTCATTGTTTTATGATTTTTCCGTCGACCACCATTCCTATCCCAGTTATGAAATCTTTGACGGCCTCCTGTGAAAATACAAATAACGACTGAAAAATTAAAAAAAATGTTTGAAAAGAAAAGGTCAATGAAAGGATTTCACTTTCAAGATTAGAATCAATTAATAATATCTGAAAAGTAAGATAAAAAATCACACTAACAATTAGCCCAATTCAATTAAATTCCCATTATTTTCATGAGCGGATTAAATATTATGGATAGTCAATTAAAACCTCATAACTCCAAGTTCTGCGCAAGCGCTTGATTTGAATGCCCACATTTCACGTCGTGTCCCACAGTTCTTCTATTTTTTAGAAAAATAAGTGCTCAGTAATACTTAAAAAAACTGCTTAGGCTGTCATGTAAACAACAGCAACAAAAATGGACTAACACCACAGTGAGTAGTGTTGAGATTTACTGTGTACTATTACTGACATCGAAGGAAGTGAATTAGCGTCTGTAGGCTTTTAAATTGTTTTTATTTTTAAACTAATTTTTGAAAAATATTACAATCTGTCTCTAGGACATTTATAATAGAGTTCACAGATCACATTCACACTCTACGTACAATAAATAAAATAAATTATACATAAAAATAATATTTATACAATAAATAAGAATAAAATAACCTAAAAATAAATAAATAAAAAGAACACATACACACCTATATACAATATTTACAATTTGGCGAGAGAACTCTAAACCAGACTTGTCCCTCCAACTGTGGAGGGAAAAGTATGACTCCAGGAGTTCCTTGCACTCCTCTCTCAACCGCGTCACTAGGGCTAAACCCAGTGGAGATTGAGCAAGATAGCTTTAGCATATCAAACTGGGATCTTTTCCGCCAAATAATCTCCGATAATATTGGTCTCAACATATCCCTCAAAACTCCCGATGACCTTGATAGTGCCGTAAATTCCACCTTGAATTAGCCACCTTCAGATCACAATCCTTCAACTCCTACCTATCCTCCCTCTCTTCTCGCGACAATTCCCTTTGGAAAACCATAACAAAAATCCTAAATCCTCACCGCATTTCCCATCCCCTCCGACGAGGTGATGGCTCCTGGGCAGCATCTGACGAAGATAAAGCTGAGGAGTTCGCCATTCACCTATCCAATACATTTATTTCACATCCGGAATCCTATACTGCCCACACCGTAACAGTAGAAGAGCTCCTTTCATCACCAAGCCCACTTTCCTTGCCCCCAAAAGCTATTCATCCTTCCGAAGTAAAATTTCAATTAAAAAAACTAATCCCCCGCAAAGCTCCTGGACATGATCTCCTTACACCTTAAATCCTTCGACAACTTCCATCCAAAGCAGTCATATTCCTTACATATATCTGCAATTGTATCCTACTCACCACCCACTTCCCTCTGTTATGGAAACACTCCACTATTATCCTTTTCCCGAAACCAGGCAAACCTCCCAATAGCTCAACATCCTATAGACCAATCAGCCTACTCCCAATCATTTCAAAAAATTTTGAAAAGATCCTTTTGAAACGAATCCTACCCATTATAGAATCCCAAAATATTCCTTCCCATCAGTTTGGTTTTCGCTCTCAACATTCTACTGTTCAACAAGGACTCCGAGTTGTTGATCATATTTCCTTAGCCATAGAAAACAAGGAATACTGTTCGGGTGCCTTTCTGATCATTGCACAGGCATTTGACCGGGTATGGCACCCCGGACTGCTCTCCAAGCTTAATAAAATCCATTTACCTCAGTCCTTGTACCTAGTTCTCCGATCCTACCTCTCTGACCGCTACTTTCGAGTTCGCTGTGGAACAGAATTTTCCAATATCTTCTCCGTTAAAGCCAGTGTTCCCCAAGGCAGCGTCTTGGGTCCCGTGCTTTACATCCTCTTTACTGCTGACATCCCTGTTCATCCCGATACTTTTCTTGCAACATTCGCTGACGACACCGCAATCTTATCATCCAACTCCGATCCCGAAATAGCATCCTAAAATCTCCAAAGCCACCTCACCTTGATTGAGCACTGGTGTAATAACTGGAACATTAAAGTTAATGAATCTAAATGCCAACACATTACCTTTACACCCCGACGCAATTCCTGTCCACCAGTACTCTTTAATTCCATCCAGCTTCCTTACTCAGACACAGTCCGGTATCTTGGCTTTCATTTAGACCGAAGACTAACTTGGAACCCGCATACTAGACTCAAAAGACAAGAACTCAACCGACGATACGGCCAACTATACCGACTACTAAGCAGAAAATCTAAACTTTCCATTGAAAACAAGCTACTGATCTACAAGACAATACTGAAACCTATTTGGACTTAAGGACTAGAACTGTGGGGAGCAGCAAAATTTTTTAACATCAAGCACATCCAATCCTTCCAGTCTAAAGTACTTCGAACAATAGTCGATGCTCCTTTCTATGTAACCAACAAAACTCTACATCATGACCTCAACATCCCATTTGTCCTAGACCTTATCCCAGAAAAATTCTCCAAATTTCACCAGAACCTTACTTACCACCTAAATCCTCTTGCACAATCCCTATCAAGCACGTCCCATCCCTATAATCCTCCAAGAAGGTTAAAACGGCAGTGGCCTCGCGACCTTTTGTAGATTGTATAAATTGGAGTTCTGGCAATGACCAGATTCTTCACTCAAGACATGAGTGTATGTGGCTAAAGTGCTCTCGACCAATCTCCGCTGGCTTTAGTACCAGTGACGCGGTTGGGAGAGTAGCGCATCGTTCTCTTGGAGTTCCCTCGCCTGATTGTATATAGGTATGCATGTGTTTTTTTTCTTAGTTTTATTTTTTTTATTTTTTAGGTTATTTTATTTTATTGTCTATTGTATATACTTTTGATTATTATTTTGTTCTATTTATTTTATTTTTTTGTACATATAGTGTGAATGTCATCCTACCTCACTATAACCAATGTCCAACAGACAGATTGTTATAATAAAAAAAAAATAAAAAAAATATATATAATTTCAGGAAATCATTTTTTGTATTTATTCCGTAATTTAGATACAAACAGACTTTCATCAACTAAAGTAATGCATAATAACACAAACAACTACCGTACTGAAGTAGTTTTACTGACCTTTTATTTGTTTTGTTGATTCCTTGTTTTTAACTGAATGTGCCTTGTCAGAAGACGTCGTCAACTTTCCCTTTGTACGACCGTGTTTCCAAAATTTAAATCCTAAAAAAGATCTCGTCGTAGTATTCTGATGGGTACCATCTGAAATCAAATTGTTACTTTTATTAAATGTTTTTGTTAATTATGATTAAGGCCAAGATTTCAATACAAATGATTTTCTTCATCAAAATAACCTTTTCGCATTTTACACTTGTCCATTTTATTATAATCATTTAATTATATTTCATATTTATCCTAAGCCATATTCTTAATAATTTAATTTCTTTCAAACATATAAAATAATGTTCCATATGTTGCTTGTTATATATATATATATATATTTTTTTTTTATTGAAATATATTACAATCTGTCTCAGGGACATTAATAATAGTGTTCACAGATCACATTCACACTCTATGTACAGTAAATAAAATAAATTATACAGAAAAATAATATATATACAATAAACAAGAATAAAATATCCTAAAAATAAATAAATAAAAAGAACACATGCACACCTATATACAATATTTACAACTTGGCGAGAGAACTCCAAACCAGACTTGTCCCTCCAACTGTGGAGGGAAAAGTATGACTCCAGGAGCTCCCTGCACTCCTCTCTCAACCGCGTCACTAGGGCTAAACCCAGTGGAGATTGAGCAAGAGTGATTTAGCCACATACACTCATGTCATGAGTGGAGAATCTGGCCAATGCCAGAACTCCAATATTTACAAACTATAAAAGATCGCGGGGCCACTGCCGTTTTAACCTCCTTGGAGAATTATATGGATGGGTGGTGCTGGATAGAGATTTTGCAAATCGATTTGGATGATGGGTAAGGTTCTGGTGGAATTTGGAGAATTTTGCTGGGATAAGGTCTAGGACAAATGGGATATTAAGGTCATGGTGTAGGGTTTTGTTGGTTACATAGAAAGGAGCATTGGCTATTGTTCGAAGGACTTTTGATTGGAAGGATTGGATGTGTTTGATGTTAGTAAATTTTGCTGTTCCCCACAGTTCAAGTCCGTAAGTCCAGATAGGTTTCAGTATTGTCTTGTAGATCAGTAACTTGTTTTCAATGGAAAGTTTTGATTTTCTGTTTAGTAGCCGGTATAGTTGTCGGTATTGTCGGTTTAGTTCCTGTCTTTTAAGTCTAGTATGAGGGTTCCACGTTAGTCGTTTGTCTAGGAGAAAGCCAAGGTACCGGACTGTGCCCGAGAAAGGAAGCTGAATGGAATTAAAGTGTACTGGTTGACAGGAACTGCGTCCGAGCGTGAAGGTGATATGTTGGCATTTGGATTCGTTTACTTCAATTCGCCATTTATTACACCACTGCTCAATCAGGGAGAGATGTCTTTGAAGGTTTAAGGATGCTATATCAGGATCTGAGTCGGATGATAGAATGGCGGTGTCATCAGCAAAAGTTGCCAGGAAGGTATTGGGATAGACAGGGATATCAGCGGTAAAGAGGATGTAAAGGACGGGACCCAATACGCTACCTTAAGGAACACCTGCCTCAATTGGATAGCAGTTCGACAATTCACTACCGCAGCGAACTCGGAAGGTACGATCTGAGAGGTAGGAACGGAGGACAAGCTACAAGGACTGAGGAAGATAGGTTTTCAGCTTGGAAAGAAGCCTGGCGTGCCATACCCGGTCAAAAGCTTGAGCTATGTCCAGAAATGCACCCGAGCAATATTGCTGGCTTTCCAATGCTGCGGAAATATGATCGACCACTCGGAGTCCTTGTTGGACTGTGGAGTGTTGTGAACGGAATCCGAACCGATGTGAAGGAAAGTTTTGGGATTCTATAAAGGGTAGGATTCGTTTAAGGAGGATCTTTTCAAAGATGTTTGAGAGAATCGGAAGTAGGCTAATTGGTCTGTAGGACGTTGAGGTGTTGGGAGGTTTGCCTGGTTTCGGAAACAGGATAATAGTGGAATGTTTCCACAAGAGAGGAAAGTGGGTGGTTCTTAGGATGGCATTATATAAGTAGGTGAGAAATATAACAGCCTTAGGAGGAAGTTGTCGAAGAATTTGAGAGGTAAGGAGGTCGTATCCAGGAGATTTACGGAGAGGAAGTTTTTGTAAGTGATGTTTGACCTCAGAAGGATTAACTGCTTTAGGTGGCAAGGAAAGTGGAATGGGTGATGTAAGGAATTCTTCTACTGTTGTGGTATGGGTGAGGTTGGATTCCGGATGAGAGGTAAATGTTCTGGAGAGGTGTCTGGCGAATTCCTCAGCTTTATCTTCATCAGACGCTGCCCAGGAGCCATCGCTTCGACGGAGGGGATGGGAAAGATGATGGGATTTTAGGATTTTGTTGGTCATCTTCCATAGGGAATTGTCATGAGCAGAGAGGGAAGTAAGGTAGGAGTTGAAGGATTGGGATTTGAAGGTGGCCAATTCCTGCTTTAATTGTTTACTGTAAAAATTATAGGAGCGACGATCGATGGGGTGTCTTGTACGTTGCCATAATAATCTGGCGCGGCGTTTGGTATGGATTAGGTCTATGAGGTGTTGAGGTAACTTATTTTTCTTGGGAGTTCTTGAGGAGTGGTTTGGAGAGGAAGCAGTCCAGATTGCTTGTTGGATAGAGGTGGTGAAAAGGTGTACGGCATTGTCAAGGTCATCTGGGGTTTTTAGGATTATTCTGAGATCAATTTTATCGGATAGGATTTGGTGATAGAGTTTCCAATTAACTGGGCCTCTGATGAAGGACGGTGGAGAAGACTTAGGAATAGGAGCAAGAGATAATTGGAGTAATAATGGACTGTGATCTGAGGATAGTTCGGCAAGACGGGTAAGGGAATGATTGAGGGGACCTAAGCCACTGTGGATGAAAAAAATCAAGGATATCGGGATTGACACTCGGGATTGTGATATTAAATATTTTTTTTATATAATTTCAGGAAATCTTTTTTTTTTTTTATTCCGTAATTTAGAAACAAGCAGACTTTCATCAATTAAGTAATGCATAATAACACAAACAACTACCGTAATGAAGTAGTTTTACTGACCTTTTATTTGTTTTGTTGATTCCTTGTTTTTAACTGAATGTGCCTTGTCAGAAGACGTCGTCAACTTTCCCTTTGTACGACCGTGTTTCCAAAATTTAAATCCTAAAAAAGATCTCGTCGTAGTATTCTGATGGGTACCATCTGAAATCAAATTGTTACTGTCATTAAATGTTTTTGTTACTTATAATTAAGGCCAAGATTTCAGTACAAATGATTTTCTTCATTTTTTCAAAATAACCTTTTCGCATTTTACATTTGTCCATTTTATTATAATCATTTAATTATATTTCATATTTATCCTAAGCCATATTCTTAATAATTGAATTTCTTTCAAACATATAAAAAAAAATGTTCCATATGTTGCTTGTTACATTAAATATTTTTTTTATATAATTTCAGGAAATCTTTTTTTTTTTATTCCGTAATTTAGAAACAAGCAGACTTTTATCAACTAAAGTAATGCATAATAATACAAACAACTACCGTAATGAAGTAGTTTTACTGACCTTTTATTTGTTTTGTTGATTCCTTGTCTTTAACTGAATGTGCCTTGTCAGAAGACGTCGTCAACTTTCCCTTTGTACGACCGTGTTTCCAAAATTTAAATCCTAAAAAAGATCTTGTAGTAGTATTCTGATTGGTACCATCTGAAATCAAATTGTTATTGTCACTAAATGATTTTGTTACTTATAATTAAGGCCTAGATTTCAATACCAATGATTTTCATCATCTTTTCAAAATAAGCTTTTGGCATTTTACATTTGTCCAACATTTTATTATATTTTATATTTAAGCTTAGCCATTTTTTAGCCATAATAACTGAATCTATTTCAAACATAAAATAATAAAAACAAATAATTCATTAGTTCAGAAGTTGATTGCTATAATTGTTAATTTTGTAAGAATTCATTTTTATTCTGTAGTCCATTGAGAAACAGGTTTTCTTCATCTAAATTAATGCTTGGTATTAATTATCAGCTACCACAAAAAAGTATTTTTACTCACCTATATTTTTTTTTGCTGATTCTTTGTTTCCATTTGTATGTGTCTTATAAGTTGTTTGATTGTATTTTGCGCCACCTGAAATCAATTTGTTATTATTATTAAATATTTGTGTTACTTATAGCTAAGTCATAGATCTCTTTACAAATAATTTTGCATCATTTTTTTTTAAAGAAATCGATTTACTAATCAAGTCATTCCTCAATCTTTCACCGATTTTTATATTGTATATTTGGCTAAACTTTGTTTAATTTACAGAGCTAGGCTTAATAAAATAATCTGAATTTCTTTCCGGAATGAATTAGTTATTGAATTTGTTTATGTCAATTTTCAACTCAATTAATTACGTTATAAAATTTTTCAAAAGTTTTGGTTTTGATTTTGTTTTGTAATTTTGTTCATCCTCGATTGATTATGCATATTTCAATTAAAAGCTGTTTTTAAATGTAGTTAAGCTGAATTAGGTATGAAACCAACTTAGTAATAAAATGAATAGAGAATGGAAAGTGAACATATTATGATTTAATCGTTCAAAAGAAGCTATTTGAAACGTTCTGATGGTAACTCGGATGACTTTTATGTTTCATTTTCTGATGAACCAGAGTGGGTCTGATCGTCTGAATAGGCGTGATTCGACGGACTCAAGTCATTAATCCGAGTTTTGCTCAATACACTCTGTTTTTTTTTTAAACAACGTGATTATCACGTATTATCAATGCCTCCTAAGGGGGGCATATTAATATCTTAATTTTTTCAGGCATTTTTCGGGAAGTTTATTGCTTTAATATTTTCAATATCTTTAGCATAATGAATACCAAACCTTAAATAATACTCTTTATATTTAAGCAATTAAATTGTTTTAGAATATAAATAATAATCTATTTTCCAGCGATATTGTTTTCGGCTTAGAACTTATTTTCATTACTCGTATAAATGTGGTTGTTCTTGTTAATGTTATTTATTTAATGAGCAGCGTAATATGAAAGATAGACACTTATTTAATTACTTCCTCAAAAATAAATTTTTGGCAAAAATTAATTAGCTTATCACTTTAACTATAAATCGTTTCCGTGTAAGATTTAACCTTAAATAATATCCTGTGTATTGTTTTTGAATTTTAGCTAATCATATATTCAAAAACAAGCCCCACGAATATTCATGATATTTATTCTCCCACGACGTTGTTTTCTGCTTAAAACTCATTCTCATTGCCCGTATAAATTCCAATATACATTTTTTTATATTGTATTGAATTTATTTTACTAAGATATAAATTATTTGGAAAATACTCATTCGTATTACATTCATTTTTTTCTGGATAACTCGTTGCATTGTTGATCTTTCTTTGTTCTTCTGGGAATTGGATGTCTCGATGATTGCCAAAAAAGAGAAAAGGACCTGTGGAAATATAAATTATGAATAATGAAACGGAGTGGAAAATTATAATGTAATTTAATGATTGATAACATGTTTTACAATTTTCTTTTAATATGTGTACATTTTCTCCAAATCCTGAATAACGGTAAGAAAATAATAATTTTTTCAACTTTATCTTAAAGAGTTGATTGGTTTTTACTCTTTTAAGTTTTTTCTTTTAATTAAAGAAAACCTAATTGTATTTATTTTGTATATTAATGTTTAGCTGCGCTACCATAATAATTCGTGGTACAGACCCCTTTTTATCAAATTATTTACATCCGCTTAAACCAATTAAATAGCTTCATGTTGTCTTACCAGAGAAATCTTTTATCTGTGAAAATTCTCAGAAACGTGGAGTTTTACAATTTATTTAATTAGATACTAAATAATAAATAAATACACATTTTCTCTCCACTTGAATCTTAAGATAATTTGATCACAAGATCGAGAAAAAAATGTGGTCTGCAAAAATATTAGGCCGGTTGGCCTATTTAACCTCGTTATTTTGACATGTTGGGTGTGGAGACCACGCCAAGTTGGCCACCTTTATTCTCGATTGTGTGACAAAATTATATTACAATTTAAGGGTAAGGCAAATGGGTGTTAATGAGTATTTAGTACCTATTTAAATAGAAAAAGTTTGCCGATCTCCAATTCCGAGAGTTTTCGCAAATAAAATTGTTATAGGTTACAATATGATAAAGCCATTCACGAAATTTTAGGCGGATGTTAATAACTTGATAAAAAAGAGTAGGTAGCACGGTCTGTAACTGATTTTCTTGGTGACGCCATATAAAGGAAAAGTAACATTGCTGGCTCAGAATATTTAAATGGTTCGTAATATTTAAACTATAAATAACTTTCTTAAGATATAAATATTTAATTATTATATTGTTTGAAGGTGTACATATTTTAATCTACTATAATAACTAGATATTGGATTTCTATGTTATTTTAATGAATTCCAAAACCAATTAAATGGATTGTATTTGCACGTTTTTAAAAGTTAAATAAACCTATATCTTTTTATTGTTTTTATTACACGATTTCACAATTATTTGATTAGTCCCTAATTATAATCTTCATTATTTTTTAGCCATAGATGTAGTCAGGGCCTGTTTATAAAGTTTTGTCGAGGTATATAAAGCAAGGGCAGTATATGCAAGTTATCAAAAGGCCTCGACAGTGCGTGTTCAGTATTAAAGGGTTAAGATGATTGAATGGTTGAAGGAAGGTGTAAAGATGTATGGCTTCGAGTGACAGGCGGATCAGCACCCAATCACTCTCGGCTGGCGGTGTAAGGGATCAGCCTTAACATTCCGCAAGGATGGTAACCACAACCAGAGAGATCAAACTCCGGACTTGTGGGAGGATGAAATACTGACGGAGGGATCAATCTCCAGACTCAGCATATAGGACTGCAAGCGGACGGATCAGCGTCCATCTTGCATGGAAATAGAGAAGAGGATAAAGATAAAAGGATGTTGTTAAATAAGAAGAGCAGACTAGAAGAGCTCCGTAGAACTGACAACTTGAGGTTTGACTGGGGTATTCATTCCGCCAAGACCAACCCGGCTATCAAGAGTTACTATAACAGTTATTTTGAGCTTTAGTCAGTATATGTTATCGCCATTAAAATTTATTAACAAAAAATATTTGCAATGAATATGCATATTTCAATTTACAATTTAAGTATTTTATAATACAACAATATTTTTTTTTTTTTTTACTCTTTAATCTATTTATTGAATAATAATACATGCAGCCACTGCTGGAGGGCTATAAGCATTAGGGCTAAAAGTTCTCATTCATACAATATATACAAATAATAAAGAAATAAATATAAATATAAGAAGTAAATAAATAATACTGATGAAGAAGATAAATAAAAAGAAAAGAAAAAAATAATAATAATAAACAAATAAAATAAAATAAAAACTTCTAAACACAATCATAACTATATACAATATATACATTCGCCCAAGAATCTCCGAACCAGGCTTTTTCCCCCACACGTGGAAGGCAAAGCAAGACTCCGGAAGATCCCAGCGCCACTTTTCCAGCCGCATCACTAGTATTAGAAGCCAGTGGAGACTGGAAGAGGGCACTAGAGCCACAGACGCTCAGGACATGAGTGGAGAAGCTGGCCATTGCCAGGACTCCAAAGGCATATTTACAAAAGATCTCGAGGCCACTGCCGTTTCAACCTTCGAGGGGGATGGTATGGATGCTCGGAGCTGGATAGGGATTGGGCTAGAGGATTGGGATGATGTATGAGGTTCTGGTGAAAGTTGGAGAATCTGGATGGGATGATGTCATGGACATATGGGATGTTAAGGTCATGGTGTAGGGTCTTGTTCGTGACATAATATGGAGCATTGACTATTGTTCGAAGGACTTTAGACTGGAAGGATTGGATGCGTTTGATATTCGATGATTTAGTTGTCCCCCACAGCTCAAGTCCGTAGGTCCAGATAGGTTTCAGTATGGTCTTGTAGATTAATAATTTGTTTTCTGTTGAGAGATGAGATGTTCTGTTTAGTAGTCTATATAGCTGACCAAATCGTCGGTTAAGCTCTTGTCTTTTAAGTCTCGTATGTGGGTTCCAAGTCAGTCTTTTGTCCAGAAGGAAGCCAAGGTATCGGACTGTGTCTGAGTAGGGAAGAGGAATTGAATTAAAAAGGATTGGAGGACAGGATCTGCGTCGAAGAGTGAAAGTT